TGTCCTGCTATGATGAGAATTCACAATGCATATAATGCTGAAATTACAAAAGCTGAAAATACAAAAATTATAAATAATTACTTTATTTTTTGTGCAAATTTAATGAAARCTTTTCATTACTATTAACATTTTTGTTAGTTTAAAAGAGTTTAGCATGAAGAAGTTATCAAGGCTCCTTGTGGGGCATTTTATTTGTATATTCCTGTAATAATAGAGTCAGATGCTTCAAATGACGAAAATAGATGACTTATGAAATGCCTTATGTCCCACAAGTCAAATGCTTCTGTATATTCCCAGTACTTACAAACAAATGTAAGGAGGGACAAAATGAAATCCAATCCTTTGCAGAACTCTGGCTCTTGGCCCGTTTTTGTAACTCTGTAACTTCTCCTTAGAGGGCAGAGTACAGCGCTAGGAGATGGCAAACACTGTGTGCTCTTTTTAATGATGCATCAGAAACACTTCACAAACAGGCTTGTTGTCCCTGGTAAAACATATGTGCCTCTGCTGAAATGGGCACGATGCAAGTCTTTTCCATGGTGCTCGACTTTCCTAGTAGAAGAAAATGCAAATTTTGCTCCATAGAAATTTTGTCCAACAATATCTCAAATAGTATTGCTACAAAATAAATTTTCCAAATGGTGATATTAAAATCAAACAAAGAAGATTTGATTTTCAACTTTTTCAAGAGTGGCAAACTAACAACAGGCTATTAGAATGCGATAAACTGTAATTTCCTGTTATGATAACTCCAGGATCCCCAAGAGAGTTGCTCAGATTTAGTTCCTGGGTCAAGACTTCTTTTAAAAGTCTTCTTTTAAAAAGACTTAATTTCTAGTTTGCACACTGAGGCCTTAAGTGAGACCTCTGATATCCAGAAACTCCTTCCAGTCTGCTCTTTAGCTTTCCCTTAAAGTCTCCTCTTTTAATAGGCAGGGAGGTAATATTGTCCTTCAGTTTTTAAAAACCTCGGCCTTTGTTAAAACATATATACAAAGAGCCTAATTTTCAAAGTGATGTGATGTAAAGCTATGTTGCAACTAACTAACATGACAGTCCTAGTAACAGCATGATAGTCCTAATAAAAGACAGTTTAGAGAAGAACTGTTGAATGATCTTGATTTAGAAACACACCCCTTCTTGATTCAAAAGTCTGTAGGGGAAGAGTAGATTTACTGTTAAGCTCTTGTTAATTCTCAACCATCACATTGAGTAGGCTGGTAGCCAAACTAAAAGGCATTATAGGTAGGATAGAGAGCAAACATTTCTTAAGCTGCATTTAACAGGCTAAAATGGTTGAGCTGCTTGATAAAAAAAATCCTCATATTCAGTTATAGAAWCATAGCATATCCTAAATTGGAAGGGGCCATGAAATAGATCATCAAAACCCAACTCCTGCTAGTATAATGAACCTTTCAAAACTGAAAAAAAAAAAAATCCTGTACACAATGTTGATAAATGCTCTGCAATAGACAAATATGTCAATTCAGCCTATGTTTGCCTATCTCTTTTTGCCACCTTCAGTGCATATTGTACCRTCTGCACATTTTATGTGCATATGACACACCTGGATTTTACAGATGTTGTACACAATAATGCATTATTTATAGATAAACTTTGCTTTGGATTAATTATGAATCAGATTCTGACTGTAATGGGACTGCTTAAACATGTATACTTAATTATAAACAAGTATAACAAACAAGTATGTGCTAGACCGTGACCTGAACAATCAAGTCAAGCAATTTAAATTATCACCGGAACTGTAGAGATACTTACAAAAATGATAAAAACATATTTCAAGCAGAGATGTCAGAAATGCAACATTTAAACAAGATAATTGCTAATTAAAGTTTTTCATGTTTGGAATAAAAAGTATTTAGTATATTAGAATAATTTGGTATTTGGTTTCTTTAAACATTTAGTCACTGGTTAGGGGGTTAAACACAGCCTGTTTCTTGGCATGTTTCTACTGCCACACTATTTGAGTTAGAAAAGTTCAATGTGTAATATTAGCTTAGCTGTGGAACTCTGATATTTAATAGGATTTTATGAAAATACCTAATATGTGCACATGACAGCAAGTTCTCACAGTTAAATATTGTCACAGAAGTGTCTTTTTATTCCATTATAATCCTTATTTCATTTAACAATTAAACAAATAGAGCCTGCTGAGGCCACTATTGAATAATGATAATGGAAAACTTTCTTCACCCCTTGATCTTCAAAAAGTTGTGGCAAAGAAAGTACACAGTTCACRTTAGTATTATATGAACTACTTTGGAAACCTGAGCTGGCAGGGATAAACAAGGTCTCTATATATAGTAGCTCAGCCTYGGTGACCATTCCTGGGATTTGGTTTATCAGAAATGCTTGCTTTTGCATGTAGAAATGTTTTTCATCTTTAAGCATTCAAAATGCATCCGAATAAACAGCATGCTAATTTAAAGAAGTCCTGTRAAACAGAATGGGACAGAAAGAGAAATCAGTGAATGGTCATCAGAATAAATCTTAGATTTGGAAAATTAYTTGCGACCTACATCTTTCTAGACAACGTCTCTAGTTTAGTGTCTGATACCATGTTTTTATCAGTAATTAAATATCAATATTTAGAATAAGCAGAATACTGATATTTTTATATTGATTTGTGTGTCCTTCAGATTAGGTTCAGAAGTTTTACTGTTTCCTTTGTATCAAATCATCACCTTTAGAGTCAAAAAGTCTGGCAATGTCTGCAGGTCTTGATATCATTCATTACAAAATTGACAAGGCTAAAGTTAAATGATTTCTTTTTCAGTGTTATCTTGTTTCTACACAGGTTGTATAGATAAGCAGAGGTGAAATGTTTGGTTTTTTTTAATTCTTTTTTTTTCCTGTGAGACAGGACTGATCAAATTTTGCTACAGGCCTTAAAACTGGTATTCTAGTATGTGCATTTTAAGTAGCAAAATGACAGAAAACACACATCTTCCTCACCGTTTACTGGCAATGCTCTGTGACAAATGATTCTAATAACATTTTGTAMCTGTTGTGTATAAATCTCATCCTTCAGAAGAAACAGTGACAATCCTAATGACAAAATGTCTCCCATAGGGATGGTTTGTGATGTCCACATCTGTAGATACAATGCTGAATGTTTCTTTAATATTCAGGGCTGACTTTTCCTAGATAAATGGCAAGGCAAGGTGTTCAGACAAGAGATGTTCACATAAGGGCACATGGTAAAATCRCTGTATTACCAGCTAACGAAAAACACAGACTTTGGCTATTTCAGATCTTAAGTTTAATGTTAATGTCCCCAGTGTTTGCAGCCTAAATCCCACAAATGTGAAGGTTTTCATTTAGCATTACGTTTTGTTAATAGTTTGATTAAATTGGGACCACATACGAGTGATGTAGCCGTGTCAGGTTCTGAACCTCCTTGACCCACTAGAAATGATACTGAGTGAGTAATATTCTCCAAAGAGCTTCATWCTTTCCTCCAATCTGCAACACACTTTATGGTTCCTTTTTTTGCTGCAGTGACARACACCATCGTTCATATTGCAGACAGAATATTGAAGAAAACACTCTCACCAGAACCAGTCACTATGTTGGTGGCTGTTTAATGACAGYGGGGACACTGATGTGAATCTCTTCAGGATGAGGAGATTGAAATAAGGGCTGTAGTGCTCCAAGTGATCCAAACAGTAAACACAGACCGAAGACATCATCCCTGAGGCTCTGTGTTTTGGAGGAGCGAGCTGTCCCTTGGTATTCTGAAGAAGATGGAGGTGCCTTCTGTTTGGAGACAGCTCAAGGCAGTGGGCCACTGAGGCATGGAGGCATTGCTCTGCAGTCCGTGGTAAAGCCCTGGAGCTGGGGGACAGGACTGAAAACGTGCCCTTCAGTCCGGTGTTTTCACCACCAGCACACTGAAGGGGATGTTTATCCTGCCTTACTCAAGCTATCTAGGATAGGTGTCTGATCTCTGTGCCAAGGTTCCAGGCACAGACAGTGATCTCCTGAGGGCAACTGGGGGAACCTAAATTAAAAGTGTTGTGCTTTCATTCGACTATAATCTGAGTCAAGCTCCTGCATTAAACGCTTCAGCCAAATGCTGAAGGTCAGATGGTGTGGGCTGTCTTAGGTGTCTCTCTGGTCAGTGTGACTCTTTGCAGTCCTATTTGTGCGATTCCCAATTTTGCTCATGCTCTCACTGTATTGTCTTGGCGACGGACTCAATTTCTGAATTTCAAGCAAAGGGCCAAGTGCCTCAACTGTGGCATTTCATTTCCCTTTATTCAACTTAATCGTGAAATACCAAGCTCTTGCAATACGCAGCTGTGTTAAGAGGTAAAAATAAATACGTTGCTCTCTGAATTACTGCTCTTACACCAAGTCCCTCCTGTTTGCCTCATAGCAAACCTAGACGGGTGTGTATAGGGTACGTGAGGGCACTCCGGCCGAGCATGCCGTGTTGCGGACAGACTTGAGGGTAACCATCAAGTTGCAGTTTCCGTTAAGCCTTTAATATTCCAGTACTCCATCACATTCGTTCCTTTATTRATTAATGGCTCTAACTGGACGAACTGGGCTCGCATTGGGGTATCAGGGCGCGGGAACGGCCGCGGCCCCCCGCCCTTCCTGCGCGCCCCGGCGGCCGCAGCCCCTCGGGTGGGCAGGGGCGGGTGAGGGGCCCGGCCCCGACGGGAGGGGCGGAGGGGAGCGGAGGATGCGGCGGGGCGCGGGGGCCGGGGAGCGGGCTCTTTTGTGTCAGCCGGGCGGACAGGAGCGGGGCGGGGGCGTGCGGAGGAATCCTCCGGTGAGCGCGGGGCGCGGRAAGGGGCGGGCGCGGGTCCTGCCCTCCGGCGGAGCGCCCCCGAGCTGCCGGAGGGGGGTGCTGGCGGCGGGGCCGCCAATCGGCGCGGGGCCGGCCCTGTGACTGGTGGCGGCGGGAGGGGGGGCGAGCCCGGWTCGCTCGCTCAGCCTTCCCCGGAGAGTTTCCTCGCGGGGGCGGCCGGGGCTGCCTCTCCCCTCGGCGCTGCCGGCGCTTCCCCCCGCGGCGCYGCTGCCGAGCGTTGGGCCGGGGAAGGCGGCGGCGGCGGCGGCAGCGGCAGAGAGCGAGGGAAGCAGCCACATGAATCAGTTTCTCTCTGTATCCGGCTCCGGGCAGAGGCGGCGACCATAGCGGGGAGGAGGGGAGACGGGGAAAAGCGGCTACTGCAGCACGGCAGCCGGGGTTCCGCTCGCCGCCGAGGTGGGTAGCGGGGCCGCAGCGTGCCCGAGGGGGGCGGGAGTGCCGCGGGGGCCCGGGGTGCCGCKGCCCCGGCCGGGCTGTCTCCGCTCTGGGGCGGCTGGATGTCGGCGGGCAGCGGGAGGGGACAAAAGTTGCCGAGGACGCCCGGGGGCTGCCCCGCGGGGCGGTGGCGGCGACCCTGCTCGTGTTCCGCCGCTTCTCGCCGCCACTCGTGGCCGGAGAAGGGCTGCCGCGGATCGTCCCCGCCGTGCTTGGGACGGGCTTTCCCCCGGGCCGGGGCCAGAGGCTTCGGGGCGTGTTGTTCTGCAAGTTCTCTTTTCGCTCCCGTTTCGTCGCTTCAGCGGTTTGTGGGTGTCGCTGTGTCAGGGTGAGAAAATACCGCCATCAACGCCGCTCGTTTTTCCCSGCTGAGCAGCCCCAAAAGCGCAGTTGCTCGGGTCCCCTCCAGCCTCCCGGGTTGGGCCGGTCCCTGTCCCCGCGGCGGGGCTGCGCTCTGCCCGCTCGGTGCCTCCGGCGGGTCGCGCCTGTGCCCGGCGGGGACCCCGGGCAGCCCCTCTCCTCCCACGCGTGTTGGTGTGTGCGCAGGGCAGCGCGCCGCGGTGCGACGCTCCCCCGCCTCGTGTGAGGATGGGCTGTCACGTTTCGTCTCCTTTTCCCTCCCCAGGTGCTGCGGGACTGGTGCTCGCCGAGCCGCCACCGACACGTTTCGTCCGTCCCCCCTCCCCTCTTGGAGCTACGCGGCCTCGGCTGCCAAATGCGCGGGGAGGAGAGACTTTGGCTCAAAATCCCCCGATCGTAAATAGAGAGAAAGCGGAAGGAGAGCCACCGCCGAGCGGCCGCGGGAGGAGGGGAGGGGGGCAGCGGTGGTGCTTCTGCCGTAGCCAGGGAGGCTGATGGCGGAGTTTGGCAGCGGTGGCGGCACCGGCGGCGGGGGGCTGCCCTCCTCCCCGGGGCCGGTCCAAGGGAAGGTGGCCTTCAAGGCAGGAGATGGGGAAGGAGGAGGAGGMGGMGGMGGCGGCGGCGGGAGATCCCGCTTTGACAGCGCGGGCAGCCGGGTCTCCAACGGGGACTGTGCCCAGCCGGGAGCCGGTCAGGAGCTGGGATCAGCTCCTCCTGCAAGCCCGGAGAGCAGCAGCAAAGAAAAAGGATTTTCCACCAGTCAACAACGAGAAGGCAAACCCGGTATCCCCCGGAGGAGCAGCATAATTAAGGTAAGAGCTCTTGCTCCTCCCCATCGGGGTCTTTTTCGSTGTGACAGAGGCAGGGAGATGGGGGCAATGCACTGGGCTCACAGAGCCTTGGCTCTAGATGAAAGGACAGACAGCTTTTTCTCTTTCTCTTTTTCCTCCCCCCTGTGGTGAGGGGACTTGATTTTTCCTTTGTCAGAAGTGGGCWACAGTGAGAGGATGGCTTTGTGTACATCCACGCTCGGGGGTAGAGGGGCGTCATATTTTGAGGTTTATTAAAGCAGAAGGCTCTAACTCCTGTTDGGGAAGGCGAGAGAAACTAGCTGGCTTGTGACAAGACAACATGGGCACCAGCCTGGCAGGGAGGGATATGAATTSCACAGTGTGCTTGTTATTTGGGATGCACCTGTGCAGAGCAATTTTGTGGCTCCATTGGCTTGTGTGTGTGACAGGCACACAGCAGGTGATGAGAGATTCGGGATCTCATTGGGCTGGGGGTGGGTGAAGGTATAATAGGGAACATTCTTCTTGTTAAAAATGACAGCTCGTTTAGCGGTAGGCTGAGGTGTACTTCACCTATAGAAACATCTTTATACTTAGCTCTGCATATTCGAAACGCTTATGTTTCAGCTTGAAAAGTAGGGGGAGCATCAGTTGTAGAATGTAGCTTGGGCAAAAAGGAATGGATTTTTTTTTAATGCAATCATTTCTGCAAATGCAGTTGTTTTGGTTTCTTAAATCCACAGTTTCTGAGAGATGTGTTGGGTTAGCTTTTCCAACTCCAGTGAAATTGTTGAGAGAACATAGAGAAATTKCTCCAATGGTATAACAGCTGTGTTAGCTGTGAAATGAAGCACAACTTCAAGCACTTAAGATCTGAGTTTAATCAAGATCAGCTAGATCTAAATTAAGCTAGATGTATTCTCTTCTTAGATATTTATATGCTTCCAAAATCCACTGTGGTGGGCTGACCTTGGCTRGATGCTGAGCACCTACCAAAGCCATTCTATCACTCCCCTCCTCAGCTGGACAGGGAAGAGAAGACAGAATGAAAGGCTGAAAGGTTCGTGGGTGGAGATAAGGACAGGGAGAGATCACTCAGAAATTACTGTCATGGGCAAAACATATTTGACTTGGGGAGATTAATTTATTACCAATCAAATCAGTATAGGATAATGRGAAATAAAACTGAATCTTAAAAGCACCTTGCTTTCATTCTGCCCCTCTCCAGTGATGTGGGGGGATGTGGGATGGGGCTTGTGGTCAGTTCATCACGTGTGTCTGCTGTTCCTTCCTCCTCAGGGGGAAGAGTCCTCACACTTTTACCCTGCTGCAACATGGGTTCCCTCCCATGGGAGGGACCATGAACTTCCGTGAACTTCTCTAACCTGAGTCTTTCCCACAGGGTGTAGTTCTTCATGAACTGCTCCAGYGTGGTTCCCATATAGGGTCACAAGTCCTGCCAGCAAACCTGCTCCAGCCTAGGCTCCCCTTTGTCCGTAGGACCTGCCAGGAGCCTTCTCCAGCGTGGGCTTCCCACGGAGTTRAAGCCTTCTTCAGGCATCCATCTCCTCTGCCATGGAATCCTCCATGGGCTGCAGGGGGACAGCCTGTGTCACCATGGTCTTCTCTGTGGGCTGCAGGGAAATCTCAGCTCYGAGCACCTCCTCCCACTCCTTCACTGACCTTGGTGTCTGCAATGTTGTTTCACTTGTCTGTTTTCCTCCCCTCTCTCTGGCTGCAATTGCTTTTGATCAGTTTTTTTCCCCTGTCCTGTTAAATCTGTTTTCCCAGGGGCACCACCACAGTCCCTGGTCAGTCAGCTTGGCCATCTTGGAGCCAGCTGGCATTGSCTATGTTGGTCATAGGTGAAGCTTCTGGCAGCTTCTTGCAGAAGCCACCGCTGTAGGCCCCCTGCTACCAAAATCTTGTCATGCAAACCCAAGAGGCATTCCAGCCCTTAACATTAAAATCCACGTCCACCATACAGCTTCCACAAACTTCAGTCACATCAACGAAAAAGAATTCTCTGCTCCAAAATCAAAACAGCACCATCACAACAGCAAACAAAACACACACARTTCACCACAGTTAGAACACGAATTCCACACGGTCTGTGTTTTGCTTGTTTCCTCTGTTGTTCTCTTGGTTGGATGATAGAAAAATGTGTAGAATATCAAGRCTAGTAGTGTATGAGAAGTTGTGTTACTGTCTTCTGGACTGTGCTTTAACAGCCAAGGGGAGAGCAAGGGCAGTGAGCAGGGGAACACATTTGACAGGCTGTACCCACCCTTCCTGTTTGAGCAGCGATGCCGGGCGTGTACGTGTGTGTGTGTGCGCGTGTGCTAAAGAAATCATAACAATGGACAAGGGGCGACTGAGCTTGGTATTGGAATAACTTAATATGTGCTGGATTTGCCAGTGATTTTTTTTACAGGTCTGGTATTTCTTAACACTTTGTTTTTTCTGTGGTAGCCCAAGAAAGACAGTAGTGTTGTTTGCAGTGTGTACCATACCGTTGTACTACTTTGTAGTGTATGATTTAATTATACAGCAACCTTCTGCCTCTCTGGGGACCAAACAAGGTCACAGTACCTAGGGATTTGTGATATATTAAGATCAAGAAGCATGAGATAAGGAAATAGGTTTTGAATTACATTTCATGGTTACCCGAGTCAAGGTTCTTAGTTGCTRCAGAAATGATAGCACTTTGGAATACAAAATTATTCAACTTTCTGCTATTATTGCTGCTGAATACCGTTTTGCAGATGTGAACAGTAATCTGTTCAGCAGCCAAGAACTGATTACTAAAACTTTGTATTTTCATTTGAATARTTATCTCGAGTGGAAAAATGTGACAACACTGCATTCAAAGTTATGTGGTCCATATTTACTTTAGATATGACTGTTTTAATACTTTTGGGAAAAATCACTTGTCTAAATATATTCTAGATATTATTCTGCCTGTTTAGTTCAGCAGTTCAGGTGGCTTGAATCTGGGTGTGTTGGTGCCTGGTTTTCACTATGAAACCTTTTGGACATCTGGCATGGGTAGTAAACCTTAAGATGCTTCTTGGCTGCTCATGCAGAGCAAAAACCTGTAAAAAGTGGAAAAAGTAAGATGTAATATGTTTTTGGAAAGTGTGCCTGGAGTTTTAATAGCTTATWTCAGTAAAACTGCTCTTAAAGAAGATAAAAAGTAACCTCAGGGAACAGGTCTGTTCCATGCACATGTAGATTTCATACATTCATGCAAAACATGATGCTGTTAGTTGATCTGTAAAATGCACCTTTATGGAATATCTAATATTTAAATATTTTGTCTGCCAATTACAGTGTAGGCTTTTGGGTCACAAACAGAAAACTTATATTTGAATAATAGTTCTAGTTCAGATTAAATTCTTTAGAACTGCATGTTTGTGCGTGAAAATCAGGAGCACAGATATGTATTTTATTTTGGATTCAGTCTGTGCTTCCATTGGCTGTCTATTTTCATAACTCTGAGAAGAGCAGTTGCTGCCTTTTTTCCCTTTCCTTTCTTACTTGCAGTCTCTGTTCCCTTTTTCCAGTGGCTCCCTATTTTTTTCTGTCTTAGTTATTTTGTGCACCTGCTAATTTTGACTTTTTCTTTCTTGTTTGGTATAAGATGATGTGCTCTTYGAGGCTGAAGTGTCACCTAGGATGATGACAGGTGGTACAGCTGCTGTTACTGGAAAAAGTAACACAGACTTTATACATAGTAGTTTACTTGGCCTTTCACTCCCATATATCAGATGTGTTTGGGCTGAAAGGATTAAAGATTGTACTCTTCATCTGCAGTAATTTTTATGGAAAAAAATTTTATTGCTTGCCTTTGTTCAACCAAATTTGAGGGCTAGGGACTACACATCTGTGTTTATAGAGACTTTTTCACATTCTATTTCTTACTCTCTTATTTATGAGATTCKGATTTTTCAAGAGGCAATAGTGATCATGTGTTGTGCATCCATGGGATTTAGCCTCTTGAATACCTGATTTGTGAACTAATTTATGTGCCACTTGTGTAGGGGGCTTTGGGGTGACTGTTTTTTTTTCTTTTTTTCCATAATGTTTTCCTTGGTGCARCTAGCTGTGGTTTCCTATTATGTAATTTCCTACAACATTGCCCATAATATTCTGTGAAACGAATTTACATCTTGCAGTTCAAAGTGGATTTGAGCATCCYGTGAACTTTTCTTAGCTGCTCTGACAGTTGGCAGTGAGCTTGCTTTATTTTTGTGTGAGGTTCCTCCACGCCTTTCTTAGAGACTTGGAGGTGGTAGGCGTTTGAGAATCTTTAAGGCAGCAAATGACTTGTGGTGTATGGGTTTGTTTCCTCAGAGCTGTTTGCTTCCAGGGGTGTCCAATAAATGCTTACAGAGCCTCATGGTTTCCCAAAGCTGCAGACCTAGACAGAAAGAGATCCAGGGGGATAAATATGTCTTTATTAGGAGACAGGTTGCAGTAATAAAATAAGAAGAGATATACTTAGGAGAGACTGCAGTTATTTAGGAAGGCAACAGTGAGAAACACATGGAGAAAGGTAGCTTTAGCATTCTGTGAGCAGGAGAGTTTTTATCAACATGCGTGTGGAAACAAAATCCAGGGTGTTTTTTTTTTTTGCATGTACCAATACTCATCTCACTGTCAATAAATTTCTTGGCTGATAACTTAAACAAATTTGTATATTCTTTTTGTTTTTATGGGTCTAAACTCAAGCTTTCAGTCTGTAAAGTCATGCACTTCCTGAGCATTGTCAGCTCTTAAGTTTCAAAGTCTGTGAGAACAGAGGAACCAAATTTAGCAGGTAGAATACTCTAGGGTATAATTTTCAGCAGAGCTTTTGAAACTAAACATATCTATGTCTTTCTGTGATGCAGGATTTAGACAGCATATGCATCAAGATATTTTTCCTTGTTAAAATATCAGTATATGTTCCTATCTTATTCAATCTTCTGTGATCTCTAACTCACGCTGTATACCCATTTGTAGAAGGTGTGCAAAAT